CTTTCAGCATATACATCCATGTGTCTGTATTTTTCTCATTCTTTAAAAGGAAATCATTGGTGGGATGCTGGATATAGAGCCACGACTTTGGAGGAAAGGGGTCCGAGAAAGCTTTGAGGATCAGAGAAAGAAAGCACTGCAGTTTGCTCAGTGGTGGAAACCATTTGACTTCACCAAAAGTAAAACATGTTGAATCATACCTTCGAGTGTTATTTCCTCTTCAGGTTCCTTTCAGTTTTATTTCCATTGTACCTAATAAGCAGCTGACCCTCAGGTCCCAGGGAAGTCATGCTCTGGGTCTCTGACCACAGTGCATCACTGGATCGTGTCGTACCCTTCCCCACCTGCTCCTGTGGACTTCATTGCAGTAACCCAGCATAAGGCCAGCTGTGTCGGTGACCTGCTCACGTTCCTGTTCTGTGCCTACATCTTGGTGTTCTGAACTATTCTGTGCATATATGGAAAGACTTTTCTGAAGGATTAGCCAGGAAGCATAACAAATCATGGGTTCAGAAGGAATTGGGTCAACGTCAAGGTTAAGTCTATTGATTGACTTCTTTTGCACTTTTTAAATTAAGAGTTGGCATATTCAGTAATAATTGAAATTTCTTTTCATAGCATTTTATAGAAGATCTCTTAATTTTCTACCAGTAGCACATGTATCACTGCTATTCTTTTTATTAAAGGGAAAAGAATGTTCCAAAGGTAATAAAGAATTAAATGAATTATAGCCTGCTCATAATTTGTTTGTTTTTATTTCTAGAATTTTTAGATAATGTCTTTGAATTTTGGTGAGTTTAAAAATAATTGTTCTACGTAACAGAATTTATAGTTTTTGGGATTTGTATGAATTTGTAAAAATTGTAGCCAAATAATCATTTTTGTGTTGTATTGGTTACTATAAACCTTAAGTAATGAGGGCATGCTAAATGTCAGGAGCACATTCCATCCTCCCCCACTTGATTTAAGGCTCTTCGTTTTCCTTTGTTCTCATACTTGGTGTCAAGAGAAAACTATATGCTTATAAGATATGGCCATGGTGGAAAAGGTCTACTTTTAAAAAAATGGAAGATATTTTTGTAGAAAATCCTTCTTGGAAGATGTTGGTTTTTTTGGCGCTGAAACTTTGACATTTTGTCATGAAATATCAGATACCTAGGATTAGTGTGACATGTACTCTAGATTAATTCTTAATTCTACCTCGTTTTTATTATTATTATATAGTTATTTTTAATATTGACATGTTATCTCATTAGTATGTTACAAAAGAGAAATGTTTATGTTCTATCTCTAATTTTTAAATTTCACAATAAGTTGAAGTTTAATGGGTTCAGTTTCTTAATATTTGCAATTTAAATATGCTTATCAAATAGATACTTGATAGTATTTTATTTATTGCAGTTTTCAAACTTCAGGCTTTGCTGTGATGTCTTAGAGGAGTTTACAGTATAACATTCATTTATTCTGTGTCGGTGAATTAATAAACACTTATTTGCAGGGCATTTTGTTACTTGCTGTTAATGGAAAAATAAAAAACGACTTACCTACTTTGAATAATTTTAGAGTTTAGTGGAGAAACAGACATGCTTATGAATAATTATAGCACATTGTACAAGTTCTAAAATGAGATATGCTCCAAGTGTGTGCAAGGACAGTGCTAAAGGACTGTTCCCATCCCTCCGTGTTCATTCTTAGCTGATGACCTTGTCCTGTTTTCCTGAGGAAATACAGCCGAACAGAAGGGAATTTGTACCATATCTACCAATAGACCGGCCTCTGTACCCATGTATTATACGTTCCCTCTTGCTAACTGTAGATAAGTTATTTTGTTACTCTTATTTAGGGCTAATCCACTCACTTATACACTGATTTCATCCTTTTTCCTCTTCAATTGCCCGTTTTCTTGGTGGTGTTAGGTTTTCCCTCTATGTAAGATTACTTCTATTTAGCATACAAATCATTGCATAATATGTCAACACAAACCCTGGCATCCGATTCCCTCAGCCATTTCTCGTCTCCAGTTAACAGCAAAACCCATTTTTAAAAATCTGTTTCTTCTTCTAAAACTAATTATGTTCAGGTGCTCGGTGAACTTTCTACAGGGGCAGCTCGAGTAGCTAATGCTCGGCGCTCGTGTTACTCTGCCCATCAGCATCACTGATGTACTCCGCCACTCCCCTTCTTGAGCCACTTTCTGTGCTTTGCTTCGCGAGCGCCATCTGTTATTCACCCTCCTTCCTTGCTGGCTGCATCCTCTCAATTTCCTTGCTGGTTCCTCTAATCTTTTCCACCACTAAGTGTTGAAAATGCACATTCTCAAACCTATCTTTTCTATAATTCACTCCTTCCCAAAGGAATCTCATCACTAAAAAGGTCTTAAATACCATTTTTAAGTTGGCTCATTTATTCAACAAATATTTAAGTGTCTGTTTCTATGTCAGTCCCTGTTGTGCGTGCAGGGGATATGTTAGTGAATAAAACAAAAATCCTTTGTGGAGTCCACACTGTATTGGGGAAGACAGAAGACATTAGACATAATAAATAAATTATCTAGAAAATGTCAGAGGTGATAAGCACTATGGAAAAAGGAACAGTAGAACAGAACAGGAGATTCTCCCAAGTTCATATCTTCCCTCTGGACCTCTTCACCGAACTCCGGATCGTAGATCCAGACACCAACATGACACCTCCACTGTGCGCGTCTGTAAAGGGATATCAAGACTGAACTCCATTTTTCCTGTTTGCTACTCACAACAACCACTGTATCTCGTGGTTTTAGGCCTGAGGAATTTGGTCGGGGCTCAGCTAGATGATTGGTCTGCTTCAGGGTGTCTGGAATGACTGGGGCCTTGTGTGTGGGTCCTCTGTTCACAAGTCTGGTGTCTGCGTGGGAAGGACGAGCAGCCGGCATCAGGCTGATCGTACTCTTCTTTATGGACGCGCTGTGTGGCTTCTGGCTGCCTCCAGAGCAACCATCCCAAAGACAGTTCCAAGAGAGAAGTGGAAGGTGCCATTTTTTTTTTTTTTTTAAGGACTGGGGCCTTTTTAGCAATGAGGCCCAGAAGTCAGCACAGCTTCATTTCTGCTGTATTCTATTTGTTAGTTGTCACCTACGGTGTGGTTGTCAGAGCCCACCTACATTCAAGAAGAGGGGCCATAACCCGACCTGCCGAAGGAGTAGTGTCAAATTGTGGCCATCTACCTACCACAATCTACCCACTGGCCACACATTTACCCTCTCCCTTCCCACCCCATGACAGATACGTCCAGATCCTTCCAGAAGTCTGATCCCAGCAGGCATTACGTTGAGGCTTGGAATTTAGAATTCCATCTAAAGCAGCCCCGATAGAGAGGAGGCTGCTCAGTGCTTCAATCTGAAGATCTGTGGATGTAAGAGACAGATTATCTGCAACACACACACACACACACACACACACACACACACACACACACACACCATACAATAATAAGCATACAACCAATGACAGTGGGCACATTCATTGAAAAAGACCAGAAGCATAGGGCACATTGTAATCACTGTTCACTAGTGATTCTAAAATTAAGTGGAGCCTATGTTGCCGGTTGCTTGATTAGGGTTGTAGCCCTTCTTGAGAATGATTCTATGGGGCTCCTTGCTGTGGCCTGTCTACGCTTGGTTCAACTCTGAGTCAACTTTTCTTTTTCATAAGAAATAACTCAATACTTATGCTTCCACCTAAGGCAAAGTAGTCATATTATTATCTTGCTGACTAAAACAACCTAAGTAGATAACATCTATGAAATGATGGTTTTCAAACCCTGGGACATCAGGCTAGAAAGTACAGTGATCCCTAAGAGATGGGAAATGACGAGATGAGCCCTGAGATTGCCCTGCCTTACTGTGTTCAGAGCATTCCCATCTTGTGGTGCCAGGTGGGTGGGGTCGGGGCAGAGCCTATTCAACTAACTGAGTGGAGGAAATGGAGCTAGGTGAGTCTGGGGAGATCAAGACAATGGGCCAGGTTATTGGAGAGAGGATCACCGCCCAGAGAGAGAACTCCAGAAGTCTTCAGAAGGTCCCTTCTGGCATCTGCACTGACCAGTGCCCGCATGTGCAGAGACTACCTGAGAGGCAAAGTTCACCTATCTGTGCCGAGCAGAGCTAACATTTCCCCACGGGTGGGAATGGAAAGATCAGGATTGACCAGGAATTGGGGAGAGCACACAGAATGGTAGTGTGTAGTGAAGAAGAATCTAAAGACTTAACACTGATCTAGTCTTGACAAACCAATCTTAAAAGCAAGATGCAAAAGGGATCAAACTATTTCTAGCCTGGCTGGAGAGGCTCAATTGGTTGAGTGTCATACCGAAAGGTTGCCAGTTCGATTCCCGGTCAGGGCTCTTAATGAAGGCAACCAATCGATGTTTCTCTCTCATGTTGATCTCTCTCTCTCTCTCTCTCTCTCTCTCTCTCTCTCTCTCTCTCTCTCTTCCTTCTCTAAGCATGTCCTCGGTGAGGATTTTTTAAAAAAAGGAAGAAAAGACAGAAACAGAAACTGTTTCTAAGTAACTTAAATGTATCCCAGAACAAAGCTCAAAAATATTTATAGGAGTAAAAATACATCCAGTAGTCACAACATGCAATTCAGTGTCTGGCATCGAGTTAAAATTGATCAAGCATATAAAGCACTGGAATGCCTGGGTAAATACTAGTATATGGGCTTTTTTTTGTTGATTTCTTTAAAAGATATTTTACTATTTAAGCAAAAAACAATTAGTGTGAACTTTATAACACGTAAAAGCAAAATAAATGGCAATAATAACACGGAGGTGGGAAGGGAGAAATGGAAGTACATTATAAGGTGGTTACACTGCGCTTGAAGCAGTGTAATATAACTTGGATTTAGACTTGATAAACATGTATAGTTAAGAACTCTATAAAGCAAACCCTAACGTAAAAAAACAGGCACATAAAAATTTATAACAGCCAAGAAAGAAGATAAATTGGAACATAAAATAATCTCAATCCAAATGAAGGCAGAAACAGAGGAAAAGGGCAATAAAGTACAGATGGGACAAATAGAAAACACAACGCAGATAAATGAGAGATTTAAACCCAAATGTTATATTCATAATATTTTTTTTATTGCTGCATGGCAACCACAAATGTGGCAGCCTAAAGCGACACACATTCCTTATCTCCCCACTTCTGTGGGTCGGAGGTCAGGCGCACCTTGCCTGGGTCCTTTGCTGAGGGTCTCACGGCTGTATCGAGGTGTCTCCAGGACAGGGATCTCATCTGGAGGCTGGACTGGGGAGAGGTGCGCTCCCCCACTTACGTTGTTCTTTGCAGCATTTAGTTCCTTTCAACTAGGACTAAAAGCTTCAAGGTATTTTTTGTTTTTTTCCACTTGTTGGCCAGAGGCTGCCCTCTGGTCCTATTGGCATCAGCACTTCCTTACAGCATGGGGTTCCCCAGGGGAGGAGACTCCAGCAAGGTGGCCATTGAAATCTCTCACGGTGCAAGCACATAATCATACAAAATCACTTTCATCTGTCACCATTTACTATTGGTCAGAGACATGTCACAGGTCCTGCCCACACTCCAGGGGGTGGGGTCACGCAAGGATGTGAACGCCAGGCTCAGAACATAATGGAGACCACCTAAGAGTTTGTCCACCGAAAGTACGCCTCTTTCCACTGTGAGAACCTTAAAACTTGCTTTCATGTCTCTGACCTTGTCCTTTGTTGTCCTACATTTTA